TCGTCCTTGAGCTTCGCCTAATCAAAGCAAAACTGTGGTAAGTAAATGTAAACATCTACGTACCAGTCAGATGGAAACACGTTTCCACTTGCATTGCAGTGGTTCTTTGCTCTTGTCTTTTCTCTTTAGACAAGAGACCTACATAGAGACTCAAATTCACAGGAAGTGTATAAAAACCCACCCACATTTTTTGTTTTGGTTTGTTTTTTTGTTTTTGTTTTGTTTTTTGAGACAAGGTCTCACTATGCAGTTCAGGCTGGCCTTGAGCTCACTATGTAGCCAAGGCTGGCCTCAAACTTGCAGAGATCCTCCTGTGTGCTGGGATTATAGGCACCGCTGTGCTGGGCCCCATCTAAGTTTTCAACTCTTGATTTCCTAAGACTGAATAAAATGAGAAGAAAGGGAGACCTAGAAAAGAAGGAAGTTAGGAGTTATAATTTCTCTTCCCTCCAGGCAGAGCCCAGCACAGGCTCAGGGCAGGGGCGGTCTTAGCAAGCAGGGTCTTCTGAGTAATCCCAGATGCTACATTTATTCTGCTAGTGACTCCAGCAGGTATAGCACATGAGCCCCAGTCAGCCCCTCCTCGCTTCCCCCAGGGATTCCCGGATGTAGTCTGACTCTTCCTAAAGGTCCAGGGACTTCTCAGTCTTGACAGCCTGAGGACCCAGGATGTGGGTGCCTGGTTGCTTAAGGACAGACCCTTGTCTGAAAAGATGGGCTCCTTATGTAGTGCAGAGTCTCCAGTCCGTTTAAAGCATGTCAGTCCGGCTCACAGGTTGACCTCACCTGGAGCTGCTTTCCCTCCCCTGTCCAAGGCTTGAACTTGCGGAAAATCTGAGGCTGCAGAAGGCAAAGTCTTGGTATAAAGGACTATGGTTTTTTTTTTTTTGTTTTTTTTTTAATTTCTTTCTCTTTTTTTTTGGTACCAAGAATCGAACTCAGGACCTTATACTTGCCAGGCAGGTGCTGTGCAGCTGAGCTATAACTCTAGCCCTGAGGGCTATGTTTGTGATGCCTCTAATTTAGGTCCCTTTTTACAATTTGTGATTCTTTTTCTACTTGATCTGGCCTTGATTTTCCTTAGTTGGCTATTTATCTCTCTGAGTATTTGAAACCTTAGTGCCCTAAAGTCGCTTGCTTTTCTTCCACTACTGGTTCTGATTTTTAATTCTCAGGGCAGTATCTGTCTCCTGTTGGGTAGTGCTAAGGAAGTCCTAAGGAGGCTCTATCCTGCTGTCTTAACTTTTGCTTGAAAAAAATATGTGTGTTCCTGGGTGTGCAAAGTGTTCCCACCCTTGTGACCTTTGTAGTTCATGCATCATTCTGTGGTGACAGAAAGGTGAAGGGAGATTGTGACCGTCTGGTGCACCCTATATCCACAGGGATGTCCATCCTGTGATGGCTTCTCAGGTAGTTTCCTTGGAAACAGACTTTCTAATACTCCCCACACAGCCACATACTTACCAGTAACTGAAGAAAGCACATAATTGGTTCAGTGCATTTACTAGGATGTCACTGTAAACCTGCACAAGTGCTGAACTCTCCAGAATCAACTTCGTAAGGGGACCTAGCTTCTTTTCCAAAACCTTTTGAAAGTGCATTTTGGCAAAATCAAAGTGTCCAGAAGAGCCTCAAGAGCCAATTAGCCACCTCCCCTGCTGTACAGATGAGGTCCAATGCCCAGAAAAATGCCTTAGGGAGCTCACATTGCCAGTTTGGCACCAGTGGGACACACCAAGGCTTCCTGTCCCTGGTCTGGGCTCTTCCCACCCCACCAAGCCGGTGAGCTTGAGCACCACCACCCAGCTAGCAAGCATGCCGTGTGAGGACAGGGACCGTTTAGTCTTGCTGCGTGTGTTCCCTCTGCTCTAGCACAGCAGGTGGTACACCGTGTGTTTGCCAATGCCTGGCCTCAGTTTCCTCAGTACCATCATATTGGTGGATAACGTCCTAAAGTGCAGGACGGTGTCTCTGTCAGAGCTCAATGAGTGGAAGCAGCCTCAGGCGTCAGGAACATGGAGAACCCAGAAGTTATAAACATGCCACGTTATTTTGACCTTGTGTCTTGTTGTCAAAGAGACAACATTTTCTGGGCATGGTGGTAGATGCCTGCAGTCCCAGCACTCTGGGAGACTAAGGCAAGAGTATCCAAACTTTGAGCCCAGCCTGGGAAAATTAGCAAGACCCTGTCTCAAAAGTCTGGGCACAGAGGTCAATGCAAAGGCCCTGGGATCAATCCCCAGTACTATTTTTGCTTCTATTTGACTAATGGATACCTACATTCTTTGGTGGCAAAAAAAAGACATAAAAATAGGGGAATAGTAAATACATTTAAGCATTTAAAAATAACATGCGAAGGGCTGGGGAATTAGCTCAGTGGTATAGCACTTGAGGCCCTGCATTCGATTCCTGGTACAAAACCAAACAAACAAAAATAACACATGAAGTATGTAATAAATGCCCTAAGCACACCTTCTTCACCTCAGGAATAAGTGTGTGTTGAGAATAGAGTTTGCCTAATCCCTTAGTTATTCCAGAAAGCGCCTCAGTCAGAAGACAGTTATCACTCACTATAGAAAATTGAACCTTATGCTCACACTTTTACCCAGATTAAGTAAGTCTCAGCTTTTGTATCCACTTCCTATTAGCCATGCATTTGCCCATTGTTTTAGCCACTTTCATGGACATTTTCATTGTCATCTTGGCTGTTGGTTAAAATGACACAGATTGTGAGTCCCCTTCAATGGATAGAAACAATTTCAATTGATTTTGACTTTCCCATTTTCCATCTCCAGAAGAATGCTGTTACCCTGAAGCAAAGCTTTGGTTCATTAACACATTTCCTAGAAAATGTCTGTTTTGTCTACTTTTGTACTACTTATTGGTCCTTTATAACTTACTTTTACTTGTTCTGAATTATATTGCATTTATTTGGCCATAGTATTCCCTCAACCAACAGTGTAAGACCACCCAAGCTCTATTACAATTTGCTGGATTATTTTTAGCCTTACAAAGACTGTGTCCAGGAGGATATAGTAACTATTGTCACACAAAAGATAGCTTCCCTAAGTAATGGTGAAGCACAGACCCTGACCCTTGCTACATGGTACAGAAGTCTCCTTTTTGTGCTGACATGAAATTTCTCCTGTCTTGGATCGTTGCAAGTTTGAGACCAGCCTGGGTTACAAAGTGAGCTCAAGGCCAGCCTGAACTGCATAGCAAGACCCTGTCTCAAAAAGACAAGAAAGGAAGAAAGAAAGAAAGAAAGAAAGAAAGAAAGAAAGAAAGAAAGAAAGAAAGA